GAGTTTTTGCTGTAAGGAAAATGGAGGTAAAGAGAGGGTTTGCTTAGAGAATGAGCTGGGTACACAAGATTTCCTGCCCACTCCAGATGTCTGCCAGTAGTATATGTGATGTAAACAGGAAAAAAATAAAATTAATTGGTGTTAAAAACTGACAGAAGCAATAGTCATATTACTAGGGAAATGCATCTGTTGTAAAACATGAGAAGAATTAGAAGTTATAAAGAACAAAATTAACATGTTGTTAAAACCATATGTTCTATTTCAAAGAAAAATTGTGATACTGAGTATCTTGGCTTTTTAGGATTCTTTAAAAAAAAAAAAAAAAGGCACAAACTGTATTATCTTAGTGCACTTCCAGGCCATCTGATAGAAGCTGGGCATACTTAGAGGCTTAATAATGGTAGCGAGGCACAGTTGTTTCCATATTGGCATTACTGAAACTCATTATCATAGTCATGTCCCTGAGATTTGTACTTTTTGCTTATAAGGAAGATTGCATGTGAAAATAGTGTCATCTGCCATTTCTCACTGGCAGACACTTTAATTTTACTATATCTGCTTTGTTCATAGATCATTTCTTACTGTCAAATGTTACGCAAAAATGACGTAATTATTTTTTGTGTAGTATTTGTCTGTAGTGAGTCATTTAGGCAAAGAAAAATTCATCACCAAAATAGAACTGTGAAGGTAAAGTAACAGCTTTAGTCTGCGCGTGGTGTAAGTGCTATGACAAAAACCTTGATGGGGTTTTCAGGGAAAGCAAGCCATTGCAATTTCATCTTCATGAATGCATTTGTAGCTCAAAAGGAGCTTAGACTTTAAGCCTCACTAACAATTTACTTGGAAACAGCAACACGCTGTGTGTGGCTTTGCATCAATCTGGTGTGGGTTACCTGCAACCCTCCTCCCCTACATCTCTCTACCGGTAGTAATCCCATTAGACGATTACATCTGGTGTCCTCGTCCTGACAGATTTAGTCATAACTGAAGAAGTGCTTCAAGTGGTTTTAATTAACTGTGTGGTATTTTATTACCAGAGCCTCTTGTACCCTATAACTTTGCCTTAAGTGGAGTGAATTTATGGCCTGTTAGGACATGCTAGTCTACAGTTGTGCACATAACCGTCTGTTATTTAGTCAAAACTACAAGAATCAAGGGCTGAGCATTTTCGTACTCATGAATCTTTAATGCAGCTGTACTAAATGTCACTGTAATATCTGATTACCAATCTGTGGCTGAGTCATTTGAGGAAAGTGGTCTGTAAGCTGGTGAGCAGCAGCTAGCTCTTCCTAGAGGTGTTCCGTTTAGCTCAACGGAAGAGAAATGTATGCTTCAGTGTGGTGAGCATTTGCTTCCTGTGTGCCTGATGGCCTTGATCTGAATGGCTGTTATGATCCCCAGAATGGGAAATCTTTATGCTTGGGCAAAATGGCACCAATTTGTTTCTCAGTAGCAGGCAGGCAGAACTGGCTTTTAGCAGAGAAGTATTTTTATTTTCCTACACCTTTCTAACCTTTTGCCTAACAATATTTATCTTTTGTTAGTGATATTTATCTAGGTACAATTTATTTCTATTTTAATTGGAGGAGAAAGAAAGCTATTGAGGGAAAGAAGTTGACTTGGTTATCCATATGGATGGAAACTTAGTGAGAAGTTTCTGAGCTTTCTTTTCCCGTAGAACTCTCTTTGGAATGGATGTGAGGAACTGAAAAAGCTGTGGCATGTTCACTAAGAGTGGGTCTAGATTTGGGCAAGTGAATGAACTCTGCGAACTCACACTTAGCACATGTGTGGCTGGAAGTTCCTAAATAGAAACTGAGATTGTGCGCTCTCCTTGAGGTGGGGATAGCAGGGGAAGACGTTCATTATGAATGTAGCTGTGTTCTTGAAACCTGTTGTCCAGGCTTTTCCTTCAGAGAAACCATGTCGTCTTAAATGCAAGCTGCATAGGTTCACCGTCACTCTGGCAGAGAGGAGTGCTGCGATCCCTAGCCTCCACAGTACAAAATAAACAGAATATTATTGTCTAACCTGTACTGAACAGTGAAGTCCGGTGCACTAGCAAGACAACAGCACTATATTTACAGGCTATGTTGGCCAGGATGAGGAGGTCTAAATGTTTCTACAGTTTGGTGTTTGCTGTAACTTTTGTATGTTCGGACCTACTGTTCCGGTAACACAGGAGGCCCTGTGGTGTTAGAACCTGGGGAACAGGTACTGTTTCTGAACTGTGTACAGAGGGGAAAAAGGCTGAAAACTATGACATCTGCTTAGCTAACTTTAACAACTAACTCTTAAAGTAGGTTGCTACTTCACTACTGGCTAAAAGAAATAAAACATCTTTCAGCTAAAATGTAAGGATCTGAATGGAAAATACAGATTCACAGAAGGATTATACAGTGGAACCTTTCAGTTGAGAAAGTTTCACTGCGTCCACAAAATGGTCAGAAGGAACATGTGGAAAACTTTATACTGGCCTCTTTCTTCTAAAATGAGGCAGGTTCAAAAGAGAAGCACAGAACTAACCTTCAGCAGCAGCGTATAGATACAACGCTACCTCCTAGGAAAGGAAGAGAATATTAAAATATTGTGTTGGGACCAAGTTGTAAAGTGCAGTCTTTAAACATACACCAAGCTAATGTACACAAAATGTTGATGTGTGTGTCGATTACTGTATTGCTCAAGTTTTGCCCATTAACTTACTGGCTGAAGCATGGAGAAAGCTACCACTGAACAAATGCTATTTTGTAACATTTTGCCATCACTGTATTACCTAGGTCAGGTCTCATTTAATGTTGTTGCCTGAAGGGTCACTAAATGTGTGATATAAAAACTGTGAGTTTTTCCTTGATGGAGAGGGTCTTTTCTCACCTGGGAGTTGCAGCATCTGCCTGAAGAGGCAAGATAGCAGGCATTTACAAGCTGGAGCAATGGACAGTGAGGCAGAGAGGTTTCAGGAAAGTAATCCAGGGTTTTAATTTTCTGATGAAATACCTATGAGGTATGTTCTGAGTGAAGTTGAAATCCATGCCACATCTGGCACTTGGCAATCATTTCATTGTTTCTTCCCAAGGACTTTCTGCATGCCCCTGGTTAGTTTTGCAGAGAAGGGGAGGAAGACTGGCAGCCAGCTGGAAAATGTAAAATGTTTTGTCATCCCTCAGCACCCTGCTCTGCCAAAACATGGCAAAGCACAAGTAGGACACCCCTGCTCTGGTGCTGCTATCAAACAGGCATCACTTTCTAAGCTGGTGTGTGGGGGGACCTGCAAAATAAAGAAAAGGAACAAGAGTAGATTTAATTCCTTGTAGACTTCACCTATGTGATCGTTGTCGGAGCAAACTACTCACTGTGACAAAGCAGCACAACACACAGACTCTTACAGCTTCTCTTTGGACTGGCTGCTTCTGCACTTAGGGATTGGGTGTACCCCACTGCCAGCCCCAGGGTCACCTGGACCTGTGCCCATCACAGCAAGTTTTATCTCCCCTCTGGCTACATGTTTCTTTTATCCTTTCCATGGGCATGGCTTGCAAACCAGGCCAGGGAAGCACACCCAGGTTTTCCACATCGGGGTGGAAATTATTCCAGGTGCAGACTATGGTAGGATGCTTTCTTCTCCTGCAGCTCCTTGTGTGGGCTCTGCTCGCAGATTGTTTCCTCAGCAGCTCTTGCCTTCTACATAGTAGTTATGCCAGTCATTTTCCTCGTGTGCGTAAGGTCTGAGGCCCTGGGTACATGACCCAGAGCCCAAGGCTGAATAAGTCTCTGTTTCAGCATGGTGAAGGTAAGTGCCGTGCATATGCTTGAGTGAGGGGTGAGTGGAATTAGGGCCGTGTGACATGCTAGGATAGGCCAGCAGTATGCTGTGACTGCTTTGAGCTGAACTGATATTCCTTCACTCTTAAACCCCTGTGAATGTCAACATTTCACTTGAATGATTGTGTTGCCAAATTGTTGTCTGTCTTCTGGAGTCACATCATCAGGCTGACTGACATACATAAGGTTTTCTATTCTTGGGAAGTCTTCCAGCATCAAAAATACAGACCAATAGAGTAGAGCTGCTTTTGAACAAGCCCCAGGTAAGACTCCACTTTGGTTTATGAACTCCTGGTGCATTGCACCAAGTTCAAGTTCTTGATGCTGTTCTGTACTGATTTCTGTTTTGCTTGTTACAAGCTTTCAAGTGCTCCTGAAGTACCCGCATGTTAGCCGACTGCTGAACTGACAGTACAAGCTTTCATCCGCACTGCTTCTTTAGCCTTGTACTTGGTGATGGAAGAACCAAAGAAACAGCTGAACCTGGTAGAAAAACCCATCGAAGCCAAATAACATAACAAACATGTTTTGTAACCAGTGTGTTTCTCAGAAACAATAAGATTAAGTGGATGAGTTGGTGCGCTCTGTGCCTGGTGGAAAGAAGCTTATTTAAATTAAGAGGATGTTGTGGTTTAACCCAGTAGGCAGCTAAACACCACACAGCCGTTCACTCACTCTACCCCTCCCCAGTGGGATGGGGGAGAGAATCAGAAAAAAAAAAAAATTATAGGTTGAGATAAAGACAGTTTAATAGGACAGAAAAGGAAGGAATAATAATAAACAAAACAAGTGATGCACAATGCAATTGCTCACCACCCGCCGACTGACACCCAGCCAGTCCCCAAGCAGCGATTGCTGCCCCCCGGCCAACTCCCCCCAGCTTATATACCGAGCATGACGTCATATGGTATGGAATAGCCCTTTGGTCGGTTTGGGTCAGCTGTCCTGGCTGTGCCCCCTCCCAGTTTCTTGTGCACCTGGCAGAGCATGGGAAGCTGAAAAATCCTTGACTAGTGTAAGCACTACTTAGCAACAACTAAAACATCAGTGTGTTATCAGCATTATTCTCATACTAACTCCAAAACACAGCACTATACCAGCTACTAGAAAGAAAATTAACTCTATCCTAGCTGAAACCAGGACGGAGGACCAGATAATCTGTGTTTCAGTCTAGAAAGAAAATGAGTTCCACAGAAGACCTTGACTATCCTCAAATCATCTTGCAATACAACAGTGGATTTTTAGTCTCAAAGGTAAGAAATATAACTCAGTCTTGGATAGATGTCTAAGAGCATGCAGACAGAAATATTCAAGGATCTCACTTCAGGTCCTGAATGTAAGTCTTTGGAATGAAAACCATCTCATACGAAAGCATCCTGTCTCCTCATCTAGGCAGGAAGGAAATTTGAAAAGAAAATAGATTTGAAAGTGACCTGACCTCTCAGGATAGACTTAGCATTTATTGAGACCTCTCTGACCTTCAGGGGCTTGGATGAGCAGACCTTGTCTCTGCATGAGGCTTTATAAAAAACACAGGAGTTTATAGCTGAGGGCTTGCTGTCTGACTGCCCCAAATGTGGAAGGATCCTTCGGTGGTGGGATTTCTTCCCACTTTTCATTTTTGGAATTTAAGAAACAGAGAACTGACTTGAATTGCCTTTTTTCCTCCCTGTTAAACCATGAAAAGAGCAGGATTTTTCAAATATCTTCTCAAAGAATTTCCTTCCCTCTCCCATGGTTTGTCTGTATGTACTATGCAGAAGGCTGAGCTTGAGAACTTCTGTGTATTGCCTCTTTTCAGGTGATGGAAAGAGTCTGGTATAATGAGTGTTTTTCCAAACAGCATTTGATTAAGGCACAAAGGTAGAACTAGTAGTTCCACTTTTCTGTATTGTTTACTGATGTTATTTGCCTTTCTGTGTGTGTAAGCACATGGGCATAAAATTATAATATCCAGTGCAGTGGAGATTTTTTCCTCATTTACTATTTAGTTACCTTTCCTATTGTCCCTTGTCACACCTCTGGCTAGCATGGTAATGGAAGGTATTCTCTCTGGGTTGCGCAAATAATGCTGCATCCTAAGGCTCCTGAAAGGCAGAGCTGTCAGTAAGGGAGAGAAAAGTGGATAATGAAAAATCCTTTTGCTTGGTGGGAAAGACGAGTGCCCAATGCTTTCCAAATTAACACTGGTACTATGTTTTTGAGAAACTATCTCAACTTTTGTTAAACCGTGTTCTTACTGAGGGTAAAAGGATTTTATCAAATTGTTGTAGATACAAGCAGTCAATTGAGTTGATACCTTTGTTACTGTTTTAGGAGTGTTTGTGTGGCCAGAGAAATAGGCTAATACTTGTAAACTTCACTGTGTACAGCCAAAGAAGGATATTTTTCTTGTGTATGGTTACGTATGTCTGTTTGAAGGTTGCGGGTTGTTGCTGGAGAAGTTACACACCTTCCTTCTCTATGAACAGACAGGGCATTTCTGCTGGCCTGAATGAGGCACTCCTTTTGGCTGAGAGGAATCTCCCTGCCTCAGGGAGACCACTGTAGTTATGCATGTCAGTCCCTGAAAATAGGGTCCACGGACTGGGATATTCTCCCCTGCTGCAAGCCACAGGAGAGTCTTCAGGGTTCACTGGCGCATACGTTAGATCCTTAGTTAAAGAAGAAAAACAACAGACAAACCCATCACCACACAGTCTTGCCTTTGTGGTCTCCAGACAAAAAGCAAGAGAGACTGTGAGAATGTGCTCTGAAATTAAGAGGCAGGAACATTCATGTCCAAAACCTGGTCTCTAATTGTGAACCTTTGTTAGCCAAAAACATTGGCTGGCTTCACCAGAAAAGGAAAAGAAATGAAAAAAGATGCACTACAAGCACTGTATGGTGTTACCAGTGTTCAGAGAAACTTCAGTTTAATCATTGGACTTGTTTATATGAAATATGATTTTACATGAAAAAAAAATTATTATGTGTATATTTTCTCCCACAAAGCAGCTTTAGAAATGCAATAGGCTTTGGTGCTTTCACCTGATTCCTTGCTCCCACCTTCCCTTACCCCCAGGTTATGTTCACTGCCTGTGAGTTGGGGGTGTTTGATCTGCTGGAGTCAGGAGAGCCTCTGTCTTCAGATGCCATTGCGGCACACTTGGGTACTAGCACCACGGGGATGGAAAGACTGCTGGATGCCTGTGTGGGACTGAAGCTCTTGGCGGTAGAGCTAACACAAGAAGGAGGTAATAATGGCAGAAGAAGGGGAAGAAACTGAAAGGCTTAAACCTCTGATGGTTTTGAAAGTGAGGTGAGGTGTGTGGAGAAAGGTGATACCTAGCATTAGGCCAGTTACTGCAGCTGGAAGGAGGACAGAATTGCTTGAGAACACCATCACTGCTTCAGCTGAAAGAGAAGCAGCAAATGTCAGCATCATTAAAGGTGTAAAGTAAAACCCAAGTGGAGGTCTCAATATCCCTAAAATTCTTTGTGCAAGAGCCTCAGGTGACCTTGGAGAAGATATTCAGAGTCTGCAGAGCTGGTCTCAAGAAAACTATGAGGCGTGGGCATGATTTTAAACCTTAAAACAAAATGCCAGGGTGGATGGCCAACAGCATGATTTAAAAACACGTTTTGATTTTCTTTGGGGTTGTACCACCATGTAAAGTATTTTATTAGGTTGCGGATCTGAACTGAGAGGTGATGTAAATTTGCCCTTGCATCAGAGGTGTTGAGTCCACATGGTCAGAAGGGATCTGTGGCCATGAGATAGCTAGTCAGGACTAGCCAGAGTCTTACAAGTTGTGTCCCCTGCTCTGCCTTGCGTTGCCTTTCCCAGTTTTAGGGCTTACAGTAGTTGCCCAATGAGTTTAGAGAGAGCAGGATCTATTTTTTATATTCCTTTTGTATGCCAGTCCCGTGGGTGACTGATGCCATTGCAGATGTGTTGGAGGAAGAGGGGGAGATTTCTGTGAGTCCTTTGGGCATTCATCTGTCTGCAGAAGGTCCTGCCCTAGTGAACTGAGAGAGGGTAGGTGTGGTTGGGGAATTGTCTCCTACTTATTGACCTTGATCAGAAAAAAAATACTTGTTTGCAAGGGTTTCTCATTTAAACAGAACATACCAATAACTTCTTCTGATAGTAAAAGTCTATAGGTAAATGATGACACTTGTAAGGCATTCATCTTGCTGTTCTTGAAAGAAACGTTTGGTGCTGGAGTAAGTAGGTAGATAGTGTTTACTCACATTGAATGGGGCAACACACATTTCAGCAGTCCTCACACACTGCTCATTGCAGTGGAAGGATTGGTTATAGAAGCAATGTGTTTGTATCTTTGCTCATATAGACATCTTCTGGTGATAAGTACCATGCTGTATGATAGGCTTGGTGAGGTGGTATATCATACATGTTTGTAAATACATTTATTTCACCCTTTAGCCCTCTACAGAAACACAGAGATTTCCAACATATACCTTACAAAATCAAGTCCCAAGTCTCAGTATCATATTATGATGTATTACTCCAACACAGTCTACTTGTGCTGGCACTACCTGGCCGATGCTGTGAGGTAAGGAGCAGTGTTGTGCACTGTCTGTTTCAGACTGTTCTGCAGCATCTGTGTGGTTGCTCTCAGAGTGGTGTGTTTCTGGGGAAGGGCACAATGAAGATGCTGTCTGGTTCTCAGAAAGAAAATTCAACAGACCATTTCGGCTGTTAACACACCCAATATGTGTTCTTGTTTTTTCTTGTTTTCCATTTGTGTGTGTTCTTGTTTTCCTTTTCCTTCTGATGGTAGAGATGATCAAGGATTCAGATTTCTGTGTGTTTGACCTTCAGCAAACACTTGATCATTACTGTGGCTCTTACTTGAGGAGGCATAAACAAAGTAAATGATGAGTAACAACGGCTTAAGGATACTTCTGTTACGAAGGTGTATAGGAGTAGTTTAATATGGGGCTGGAGTCTCACTTGTTCCAGTCCATGCGACTGATGATCAAACATGGTGTGTGCGATGGTGACAATTGCACCAGTCTTGCACCTTTACTTGAGATGTATTCCCATAAATCATAGAATAGTTTGAGTTGGAAGGGACCTTAAGGACCATGGGCAGACATACTTTCCACTACCTTCCTACCCATCCAACCTGGCCTTGAAAAGAACCAGTCATTCTTGTGAAAGGTTGAGAAATATATCAGCATATTTTGGGGTAGCAAGTGAGGGTGCCTTTACAGCCGTTACAAACAGGCTGGCATATATTCTGTACAAAGCTGACCAAATTCCACTTTGATGAACTAGCTGAAACTGCAGCCCTGAGGTGTGCTTGAGTGAAAGAAGAAGAAATCCACAGTCATTTGCTTTTTTTTGGTTGCTATTTTAGAGAAGGAAGAAACCAATATGAAAGAGCTTTTGGCATTTCATCTAAAGACCCTTTTGGAGCAATGTACAGGTAATCATTAGTATATTTATAGAAATTTTATTCTTCTTTTTGTAGATAAAATTAATGTTTTTAATTATGACTGAGGAAAATTAAATATGATGATGTGAGAATCCCAGTCATCAGAACCATCATGCAGCTTTTCCTTTCTCAACAGTATCCATTACTGGAACACTGTCTGATATTTTGAATAGAGGTATATAATTTCCTATTCTGAAAAACGTATCACGAGTCTCTGGCACAATAGCAATGGTAGCTGAAGGAAAAAAATCCCTTGGAAGCCTGAGAATTAGCAGCGTAATACACTGTTGGACTTCACTAGTCTTAATTCTCTATTTAAATGCATGAATGCCTATCTGTACCCTTCTGCTACAGTAATACTCAAGGTAGGTTTATATGCAAAGAGAATGTAGTCAGTGTCAATAAAAACAGAGATTAGTGTTTAAGCTAAAACTCATAATAAGTTATATGATAGGAATCATCAAGGATATTGTAAGTTACCTTTTCTACGTGCTGTGTCTGTTTGCATTACTAGATCAGAAGAAGAAATGCTGAAATTCATGGCTGGCCAGAACTCAATATGGGGCATATGTGGCAGACATGTTCTTGCTGCATTTGACCTTTCCCCTTTCAGGCAGATCTGTGACCTGGGAGGTGAGCATCAGTAGATCTTCTTTAACAAGCCTCTGAACAGTCTTCTTTGACAAGCTCAGAAAGGAAAAATAACTCCTATGGTATATGATGGACAAAAAAATGGGAAGCAGGACATATCTCAGAATCTTGTCAGCAATAAAGGGAGTGTTTTAGTGATCTGGCTGGGCTAAAAAGAGAAATG